TTTTTTTTTTTTTTTTTTTTTTTTTTGGTTGGTTTGTTTTTTTTTTTTTCTGTTGTTTGTTTTGACTGGGGGCTTTTTATTTTTATTACTCTCCTTATCCTTCCCCGCTGAGCAGCAGCGGCGGCGGCAGCAGCAATATGGCTGGTGATGGGCTTTTTGGGGGGCGCTGGCGGCGGGAGGAGCTCTCGGAAGCCCCTGCGCGCCCGGCTCGCTGTTAGCTATGGCAAATGGCAGCGGCGGCGGCTCCTACCCGGGCGGCAGCGGCAGCGGCATTAGAATGAGTAACAATATCAACGCCAACAATCTCAACACAGACTCGTCCTCCTCCCCCGTCAATGTGCCCAAGATGGATGCGCTCATCATCCCGGTGACCATGGAGGTGCCCTGCGATAGCCGCGGACAGCGCATGTGGTGGGCTTTCCTCGCCTCATCCATGGTTACTTTCTTTGGGGGACTGTTTATCATCCTGCTGTGGAGGACCCTCAAGTACCTGTGGACTGTCTGCTGCCACTGCGGGGTCAAAAACAAGGTAACTCCCCCTTCCCTTCCCTTCCCTTCCCGTCCTGCTGCCGGTGATGGCTTGGTGCGGTGGTGGTGAGGAGTAGGAGCCCAGCCTTGTAGAGCAGGACACCTGGGCGAGTGGCGGCCGGGCTGCCGATGGCCGTGCGCCGGCTGCCCTCGGCTTAGGGCTCACACGGGCTCTTGGGAGCTGCAGCCTGGGGAGAGGTGGTGGGTGCAGTCCCGAGGCGCTTCCCCGTTCCCCCTCCCACGCAGGGACTCTCGTTTTCGTCTGGTGGCGTGAAAGTTTCACCTGGTGTGCGACTCTCTGTGTCCCTGTCAGAGAGGCACATGGTGGTGTGGTGGGACAGTGCGGATCAGAAGTTTATGTTGCACCCTTGGGACCGCACATGATGGGGTGGGCGCTTGAGCATGCTGATCTAAACTCTCAGTTGCCTCGTGGGATGAGAAACTTCGGCAAAATCGGGAGGCTACATTTCTCACTCCAGTGAATCTTTATAAAGCTAGTTCCACTCCCTGAGAATATTTGACGTTTCTGTTTGTTAAATTAAATGTAGCTATCTAGAAGTATTCTGTACATTTTTAAGTGTTCTCTTCACCTAAGTGTCAAGTCTTTGAGGCAGCCTCTCTGCCCCTTTGATTTTAGCATATTACCAGCTGGAAGAAAGCATAGTACGTGAAGTAAATCCAGTTTCTGCTTTAAAAGATCTATTTTCAAACCAAAGCTAGGAACTTGCTCAAATTCAGACTTTCATTTCTGATTACGAAAAATGAGATAGAAAGTGTTACAACTCTGTATTGTGAAAGTAGATTTTGACAGACCCCAAAATAGACCAGCACCTGGAGTTTCTCCCCTTCCCTTTTCACATTTTTTGAATTACAAATGGAATAATATCTGCTTCAGTTATTCCTGGCACACAGACACCCACAAAAACACACACACCTTTTAATATATGGTTGCTAGGTTGCTGGTTTGCTTTGACGTACAGTGAGCTGTCTTCCCTTTTCTCCTGTCGCCTCCCCCCTAAACACACAGCACATATACATCAGCTCTATGGAGGGCCCAGCACCTAGGGGAAACCAGGAGCAAAGTTAGGGCATGGAAAGTTATGGTGCTTGTTTGTTGTGTAGTTTGGGTTGCCTAAATGGACCCCTCCACATTCCAGCTGGAAGTTAAACTATTACAGTGAGCTTGGCCTGTCTATGGAAGGAGGGATTGCTAAAGTTAAGGAATGAAAGATTTTAAGTCAGCATTGAGCATCAGGAATCCTGTCAGGCAGCACTGCTTTTCTATAGGCTTTTTTTTTTCATTCAAAACCAAACCTGAACTTTCTTAAAGAGGTGTTAGCCAGGTATGATGACACAGCTCTAATGAATTTGTGATAATAAGGTACTATTTCCTACAGCACTAAAAAGCAATTTTCAAGGAAGGGTGAGTAGCGAAGACTTAACCTTTGGTTTTGCTGTGTATTTAGCATTTCTGCCTCCACAGAACAAGATGAATCTACAAAGGCTATCAGAGATCTTGACGAAAAAGAAAAATCTGCCTGCTATTACCTCATGCTTCTTCCCTTGAGAGAGTAACAAGTTAGAGACTTATACACAGACTTCTTATGCGTGGTTTCTTGGTGGGTACTGTTGGTCAGATAGTCCATGATTGGGACACTGTCAGTTAAAGCAGATCAGTAATTTCTTAATCAGTATAGAAAGATTTGTGCAAATTGTCTTTAAAACCTCTTGGGCTAAATGTGGCAATTTAGTAACAGGCTTAGTTGAGAGGTTCAAACACTTCCAGTCCGAATAGTTTGATGTATTATGGCTATGGCAGGTTGTAAGATTTCAGTTTATTTCATCTTTGAGACTGAAGTAGTTCCATGAATGTCATTCCCTGGGGCAGAAGGATAAAGGGCTCTGCAGGTAGGGGGAGATAGATGTCTCCTTTTAGATCCTATTTGTTCCACTTGTAAGGATTTTCAAGACTCTGGGAAAGAAGAACTTTCAAGGGCTCATCCTGCATTCCTTATACGATAAAATGGGGAATTGGAGGGAATTCTCTGTATGCAAGGATGTTAGTTATAACTAGTTATGGCATAACACTTTTCGAGTATTTAGGGCATAAAGGCTAACCGAAGTAACAACTGGGATTATCTGAAACTTTGCTGTTATCAAGCACATACTTTGCTGCTTGGTGAGTTGGAAAAAGCTGCTGAGGCTACTGGTGAGAAATGTGAATGCATATATATTCTATGTTGACTCTATTGGGCCTGCTCCAGAAGGAATTTTAGAAGGAGTAGCTCCTCCTACTGCAGGGTTGAAGAAGTTTTCTGCATGTTAGGAGCTTTCTTTTCCTGTGCTGACTCTTCTGCTGCTCCACAGGTTGCAGGGGAGTTGGGCTATCCAGCATCATCTCACTATCTACATAAAGAGCAGTCCCAGTGAGAGAGCTAAAAGAAATCTTCCTCATGTCTACTTTCTGCGGCCTCTTATTGAATAATTCACATGTATATGTGAATAATTCAGAGTTACTGTGCTAACACTCGTGTCTGTATCTGTAATTGCAAAGAATTGCAAAAAGTTTCATTTTTTTTTCTCCCTGCTATATTCTAGGCATGACATTGTATTCCATGGATTTGTTGATGATTGTGAACTTTGGGATGTAAAACTTTTTAATGACTACATAGAAGGATTTAAGAATGTGGTTTGTTTGGAGTGTCCCCCTCTTCAACTCATTCAATTTAAAGGTGGAATTTAAAACCACTATATAAACAGTTTAACACTTTGTGGTATGAGATTTCATGAATTTTTTTTTCCTTTAGAGATAAGAAAGTCAAGATACTGTAAGTCAAGAATATGAAAACTGCTAAGAGAATCATCAACATTATCCCTTAAAATTCCATATCTAATTAATGTAATTGTATATGAGTAGAACATCACTCTTAACCATGTACTAAAAATGATTGTTGAAATTTTAGGGTTTTCATGCTCCGTACTTGCTTCACGTACTTTGGAATTTAAAAAAAATACTGCCCAAAAAAATGTAAATCTTTACCTTTGTTTTTATTTAATATGGTAAATAATTTTAGATGCATTTTTTTTCAAAATTAGCTACAGTCTATCTGCAACCAGCCTTAAAAAATGCTGGTTTTCTTCTCAGTGTTTACATATACACTTTTAGTGGTGCTTAGATACAGCTAAATAACTTGTCTGGTCATTGCTTGTTCTTTCTCCCTTGACCAACTGATTTCTGTTTGTGTATGAAAAGTGGAATGTGAGATTAAACTTCATTGGGTTGGACTCTGGCATTAGTTGTTCTTGTTTATAGTAGCAGCAGAAAAATAAAATAAATATACGTGGTGATGTACACATAGTGGCTAAATGCACATTATACAGTCTATAGTTCTTTGATTATATGGATCTGCCTCTGCGTTTCCTATGCTCCTGGAGGGCATTTTCTGCTGACATTATCTGGTATCATATTTTGGCTTTGAACAAACTCCAAAACCATAAGGAAGGAGCAGTGGAATGAGAGAGCAAAGGTTTGGGGCACAGTCAGTTCCTGGAGCTGGTCAGTGCAGAATCAAATGGAATTTGTTTCATTTTGAAGAATACGATACGAGACCCTTTATTGCTGCTCCTTGGTTCCCCAGTGAAGGGCACCACTTACAAACCTTATGTCACCGGGCTCCAGCAGGTAGAGTACATCCTTGTTGTGATGCTTTCAGTGTTTTGGAAGAGCTTTTCCTCCCTGCAACCCAGGACTCGTATATGTATAAAATGAAATTATGATTATAGGTAGCAGCAGTTAGCCTGAAATTACAAGCCCTAATAGTCTTTTTTTGACCTTGGTCTACGTGTTTTTGAGATGTAGTAAGTTACACAGTGCTAGATTTGGTCAGTAGAAACCAAGCAACATCCCCATTTGTTTTGAATAGAAAAAAACCTGGTTTTGCTGGAAATACAATATTTGCAGAAGTCATCTTTGAAAAGTTAAGAATTTCAACGCAGAATTCTAAAGCCTGAGAAAATTTGTAAGCAGAAGAATTTAAGTTGTCCATAAAACAAGTGGCATTCATTCCAAGCTGGCTCTTGTGTGGGCGAGGTTTGTTGGTTTCTGAGCAATACCTGCATGAACGTCCTCTCCAAATAAAGAAAGAAATTTGAAGCAGGATCTGTTGAGAAAAGTTCGGGTGTGCACTGGAAGACACGTGTGGACACATAAAGCAGGAGATCCCTTCATCCCAGTCTGTACGTGGAATCGTCACCTTGGCTCTCCTGAAGATGTACTGGGCAGCAGCGTCTGATGAACAACTGGGAGGCTCAAGGGATTAGCGGGAACTGTAATGCATTTTGCTGCTCAGTCACATGCACAGCCTGGCTCAGTCATTCCTGTCTCATGGCTGTCAGGTGGTCTGCGTGCAATTATTCCGTGAGAGCCTCACCAGACAGGTTGCCAGTTGAGAGGTGCCCACGGTGGCAGGTCAAGGTCTGAAAGAAAAGGTACTTGCAGCCCTTTGCAGGTGGTGTTTCTACAAGCAGAGAAAGGCACTGGCTGTGGAGAGGTGTATGCTGCTGTTTTCCATGATCTGAAAAGAAAGATACTTCTGGCTCTCTGGAGCTTATAAAGGATTTTCATCATTTCATGAGCACATGCTGAAATAGGTTATGCATGCAGAAAAGAGAATGCATAGACAATGATTTAACTTGTAAACCAAACATTCTCAACCAAAAGGTTATTTCGGTACAGTATCATACTTATATTCAAGGCTTTGCAACATATACATTTAAGGAGAACATCTGCATTCAAAAGAATTGAAAATCTCGCATTTGCAAATCTGTAAATGCTGGTTGAAAACCATTAGATTTCACCTCTTTTTCCAGTTTAGCTCAGTAGAAGAAGTGCCTGTAATAGCAGACAAAAAGCTTTTAAGTAACACTGATCCTCACTCAATGGGGATGTACTCAGATTTGATGCATTGGGATTTCTGAATGTGGAGTGAGGGCAGTTTACGG